TCAGCCCCTGTTGTCCCCCCACTACCCGTTCCTTACCTTTCCAGCAGAAGCCCTCTCTGCCTCTGCTCTCCTCTCTGCTTTTCACCCTGAGTCCTTCCCAGAGGTCTGTGTCAAGTTAGCAAGGCGTCCTTGTGCTGACCACTCCCTGCCTGGCTCCAGGTTGGCCCTTCTGGTTTCTCCACCACGCCAGCAGCTCCTTCTGCCTTACTTTGCACCATCCTCTTCACCACCTGGAAGAGTCACATGGGCCCCAGGGCTCTGGCCCGGGTCCCCTCTTCACCTACACTGTTGTCCGAGGTGACCTTGTCCAGCCTTATGATGATGGGTGTCCCCTACTTCATATTGACCCCTGAGCTTCTCACTGTAACCCTCAATTTAGAAGTCATGTGTCTACCTGCTTATTCACCTGGACATGGAATAAACCCCTCTGACAAAACATATCCAACATGGAATTCTTTATTTTGTTTTGGTCCCTGGCCCCCTGGTAAAGCCCTCTTCTAGTTCTCCTTTTTTTTTTTTTCATCTCAGCCCACAGCTGCTGTATCCACCCAGGTGCAGATCAGAACCCCAGCATCTCCAGCTCCTCTTGGACTGCCCCTGACTCTCATAGCTAACCTGCCAGCACCCCATGTCTTCAATCTGTCCAGAGCCCCGGCCAGGCCCCCAATCCTCATGCCGCCATCCCTTCTCAGGCCACTGTGGAAACCCCTCACCGTTGCCTGTGTCCTCCCTGACACAGCCATCTGCCTCTGCCTAGCTTCCAGGGGGCTCCTTTTACACAGTCACTTCCCTGCGAGAGGTGTTCGGTCGCTTCCCCGGTCGGGAAGGCCACCTCTGACTGGCTCCCGCTCACCTCTCTGGCCCCATTTCTGCCACGTCCCTCCACCACGTGGTGCCCCGGCCCCCTGGCAGCAGCCTGTCTGCCTCAGGACTCTGCACTTGCTATTCCCTCTCAGAAATCTGCCAGCTGTCTGGCTGAGGCAGGACTTCAGACCTTTCTGCATCTGTCAGGTGAGAGTGATAACAGGGGAAGCGAGAAGGACGAGGTGAGTGTGCATGGCGATCTTAGAACAGCGTCCACCCCTACCCCCGGCCCCCAGGCCAGGACTGCGTGGCATGGCTTCATCTGGCCAGCCGTGGACCGGCCCACAGGCATTAGCTGTGGGCAGTTGCAGAGGGGCCCACATGCCTGCCCACCTCCTGTGAGGCACCCCTCACTCCAGTGCCCTCAGAGGGGCCGGGGTGCACTGCAGAGAGGAGCCTGCCCCCCTCACTGTCTCTCACCTTCATGCTCCCCTACTCCTGGGAGACGTTACTGACTGAACATTCTGTCTAGCATTTATCACCTGTGTGTGTGTTGTTCTTCATTTTCCCTGCAGAGAGAAAAGGAACAAAATAGAAAAGGGGCAGGACATGAAGATTGCCTTGTAACTTTCCCATCTTCATCGTCCTCTTAGAAATGCCGTTTAGTGCCACTCCTGAGGTGTCCTGGGCAGGAGAGTAGGGAAGTGGGCTGAGACGGGCCTTGTTTCCTCAGAAGCAGGCAGCAAAGAGACCAAAGCTTCAGAACTGGCGAGTAAAGATGCTTGGACCCTGCTGCTGGGCACAGGGCCAGCTGCCTGCCGACTGCCAGGCCCCGGCGTCCACCTCTCCCTGTGGCCCACATATGGCTGTGAAAGCAGCCCTGCTCCCAGCCCAGTAGCAGTGTATTCTTGGTGCTCTGATGTCGTCTGCTGAGTACAGGCCCTTTGTGTTATGACACATTTCAAGTATTTTGTCACTGTTAAGAAATGTTTGAGGGATGGGAGGAAAGGGGGCGAAGGAGTCTATGGAGGAGGACTGTGGGGCTTTGTGCTGGGTGTGGTACATCCTAAGCAGTGTGCACCTGTACCCCTAGACCATAGAGTGTGTTGTCAACCAATAGATATAATGTAACCTCAGTAGACATAATCAAAAAAGAAATGTTTGCAGTTCACTTCTTCTAGAACCTCCTATGTACATTCTAGAATGTTAAGCAATACTAACAGTCACATGTCTTTTCAGTTGTACATAGTCTTTTTTTTTTTTTTGCATTGAGTAAATAGGATGTAGACCAGAGGTGGAAGGGGTAGAGGTGAGAGGACTCACCAGAGACAGAGTGGAGAGCAGAAAGGCAGAGATACTGAAATCCACTACTGAGGGCAGCAACCGGCGAGACAGGAAAGGTCTGCTGTGCCATGTGGGTCAGCTCCCTGGCCAGGGGTCGAACTGAGGCTGCAGCGGTGATAGGGCTGAGACTTAACCCCTAAGCCACCATGAAGGCCCCAGTCTTTTTAAATATACGTGTTAAAAAGTAGCTTTTGGCCCTCCCTGGTGGTGCAGTGGTTTAGGACACGGTGGTACAATGGTTTAGGACGCAGTACTGCAAGCTAGCCACAGCCGCGTCAGTGCAAGTTCGATCTCCGACCAGGAGGTGACCCACATGGCATGGCAGACCTCTCCTGTCTCGCCCCTGCCCCCCTCAGCAGTGTACTTTGTCAATCTGCCTGTTCTGCTCCCCACTCTGTCTCTGGTGAATCCTCTCACTGCCCCTGCACCTCTGGCTTGTACCCCAGTTCTGTATGCATAAATAAATAAATCTTTAAAAAAAAAAAAAAAAAGAAGTAGCTTTTGCGGTCCAGGTGGGTCTGATTGTAATTCCCACAACTCCAGGTGAAGCAGAGATACACTTCTCTGAAACATTTAGACCATGGTTCATTGGACTTTGGAACTCTAGAGGCAGCTATAAAACAGTTGAACCTCCGTGTCTATTGCAGTGACTTTTGCTTATGTACAGTTTTCTAACTGGTCAGAGTACATTGACCTGAAATACTTTTCAGAATCTTTTTCCTTTTCTCTGAGAAAACCAGCAAGAAGGGGCTCTGGTGGGGTACAGTGGGGTGCTTGTCCTCCCAACAGAGGCTCTGTGCTAACACCCCTCACCTCAGGCTCTCCTTGCCATGGAGTGGCTGTGGGCTCTGTAATGAGAGAGGAAACACCTGTGAGGACTGAGGTTGTGCCCAAATCCCCCTTCTAATGAGCGTCCACCTGCCCGGCCACTGAAAGCCAAAAATCCTGAAAATAGATTTATGGCCGGGGAGCTTTGTGCCTGCCAGGCCACAGAGGAGCGAGCGCTCCTGTTTGAATGTGGCTCTCCTGGGTGGGGTGCTGGGCTTCTTTTCACTCGGGCTCTGGAGCAGCAGGTTTTCAGGGCACATTTTGGATGCAGGGTTTTCTTTGGCGCCTGGCAGCTTTGCATTTGAAGATTTGGTGGTTGGGTCCATGTGGGGGCCATGACTCTCATCCCTTCCTCTCCTGTGATGGAGCCTGCTGGGTGCCAACATCACTCCCCTGCCAGTTCCCACTGTGACAGGAGCCCCACAGGGCCCCCCCTGGGGTGTGTGGGGGCTGCTCTGTCCTCAAGGCAGGGCATGGTGTCACAGTGCTACTGATCTGAAAAGTCCCAGCGACCCCTGGTGACCCTGCCTGATCCCTTCAGTTTTGGAAGCTACTTCCCCAAGCCTTTGTCTTTAATTTTGTTAGGGCATGATGGGGGGAAGATGTAGAAAGTTCTGTGAACCTTTTTTGGGCCTGTAGAATTCCACTGTCTCAGTTTCTACAGTACCATGTAGAAACTCAGCTGTGTTCTCCTGTCCAGCCCTTGAGGTGCGGATGGGAAGGCTCCTTGTGGGGCTCCAGCGACATTAGCCATCATGAGCTGACTTCAGAGACCCGAAAGTTACAGACTTTTTGGGTGTGCCAGAAAAGATTCTGGAAGTCCTAACACTTCAAAGCTGCTGAAATGCAGCACTCTGGTGTGAATTTATTAATAGTCCACATCCTTCACGCCCCTCCCAGATCTCACACTTGCTGGTCGGAAATGCCGACCAGGACAGCTGGCCGAACACCACCCATGGAGCCCCCCCAGCCGGCGTCAGCAGAGCGAGTCCCAAAAGGTAGAGCATTTACAAGGTCCGGTAGAATGTATGCTTCTGCCATACCCCAAGAACTGGGATGGATCTTTCAAACAGCCTCGATTTTTAGACTAGTTCTAGATGTAGAGAAAAAACCCAAAAGAGAATAGTCCTGCTGTATCCCAGCCAGCCCTGTTATGCCTGCGGTCACCACTGGGTACATTTGTGGCAGTAAGTCAGCACTGATGCCTCATTGTAGTCTGCCCCTTACCAGGTTCCCTTAGTGCTCCCCCAGCGTCCTAACCCACGGGGCACCCCACCCCCTGTCCCATGTGCTCCACTGTCCCCTGCGTGCCTACTGGCTGCAACAGGTCTGTAGACTTCCCCAGTTTCATTTCCCTGGCAGTTTTGACAAGAGTTATCAGGTTGACTGGTGGTTGATCCTCTTGGAATTTGTCTGACACGCATGCCCTGGTAGGACAGGCTTACGAGGTCTGTGGCGAGACTGTGGTGAGCCCAGTGAGACTCTGCACACTGTACCCCCAAGCAGCCTCACCTCCCGTGTTCCTCCCAGGGAGTGGGCCCCTGGTACACCACCTTGGTCAGCAGCTGGGGGGCAGTGCTGGGCACTGCCATTCTGTTGCCTGTCCCGAGGTTGGGGTGTGATTTTTAAAGTTGGCCATTGATTCTTACTTACTGTCATATTTGATTCTATGTGACTGTGGCCACATTAGCTTTCTCCTGATATTTTTCCTCCAATTTGCTTAAAGAAAAAGAATGCCTGTGCTTTGTCCCATGTGAGTCACGGTTGAGATGTTTTAGCAGCAGTTCACTGATGCTAAAGTAGAATTACCTGTTCTCTTAGTTTCCTGATTCCTAATAGCTTAGAAACTACATCATGTTGGTGGTAAGCTACATTCCATTGATATTAATGTCGTTTGTTTAATTGCTTGCTTTAACTTTTATTCTCATTTTCCATTCTCCAAAGTCATTTTTTGCTTTTTTTGTTTGTTTTGGTTCTCTGTTCATAAAGCTTTTTTGTTTCTGTTACATCATGTAGTTTTGTACCAATGGCTAGAAGCAGATCGTCATGGCCACAGCCAAGATGCTGCCAATACGACTTCAGGTAAAAATATGAATAAACATAAAAGTGGAGGTGTCAGAAATCACGATTTCAATTTACTGCAAGCCAATCATAGGTTTTATTTTATTGATTTTTGTTTGGGCCAAAAAAAAAAATCAGGTTTTATTTTTGTATTTCTGTTCTCTCATCTGCATCTTAATTTCATAAAGACCTCATTTGCTTCAAATCTTGAAAAAAATTATCCGCTCGTCTTTAAGCTCTCTTGGCAGATATATCCTATTTTCTTAGGAGGAAAAGCTTACTTAATTGCAGCTTATATTGAATAGGAGGTTACTTGGCAGTATTGCTTGGAATCCAGTCAATATTTGGTGACGGTGAGAGATATTAATATTTGTACGAATTTATAATCCTTGCTCCTTTCAGAAAAAAAACATTTAAAAAGCTGAATTTTAAGTTAAACAAAGGATGCTTATGCATCGTTTCCATTTCCTAGGAATTCAGATTTGGGAATTGAGTCACTTCTCCTGCTAAGCCTACCTATAAATTCTAAGTCAGAGGCTTTTTAACTCTGGGGTCAAAAGGAGAAGAGTGGTAGGCTCACCCCCTGGCTCCCAGCTCCAGAAGGCACCACCAGTGTTCTTTGGTTGATACTACGGGTAACAACCCATCCACTCGTTTCTAAACCCTAACAGTGATACCAGAACTTCTAGATAGTTGCTTTTTCGCCTAATTTCCTTCAAAATAATATTTGCCAAGAGAGTGCTCTCTGTAGCGAGGTGAAGCGGCTGCTCCTTGCCCCTCTGGCAGCCTATGAGCAGGGTGGTAGCCCAGCATTTCTCTTGCGAGGCTTGTGCTGCTGCTCCTGGGCTTTGTTTTATGAAATTCTTTCTCTGTGGAGATGGTTTTCCTCCTCTCGCTGGTTGATTCTTGGTGCCTCAGGAGGGTAGGGGGCTCTTAGTCCACAGAAAAAAACACTCTGAAAATGCCTTTGTGGCCCCATCAGTGCCTGGAAATGGGCATGCTGGTTAGCCAGCTCAGGCAGCCTGGCTGAGAGGTAAGTGCACGGGTGGGTCCAGGCCAGGGTCTGTGCTCTGCCCTGCAGCAGTTCATGTTTTATTTCCTTTTGTGGAGGATAAAAGGCAGCAATCCTGGGGGTGGTGAAGGCAAGGCTCCCTTGAGGGCTGGGTGTTGTCTGAAAGTGTCTGCTGCTGTGCTAGAATGGGAATGAGGATGGGGTGTTTTTTTTGTTTGTTTTTTTTTTGGTTTTCTTTTTCCCTCTGAAGTGAAAGTAGCCTTTTTTTCTTTAATGAAGTGAGCAATTAAAAATTCTTAGTGACTACATGAGAATCTAGCATCAGCTCAGAGTTCACTTATGCCCCTTCCTGAAGCCAACCCTTCTGAACCCCAACTTTCCAGCACCTTCTCACAGGGGCAGCATCACACTCACCAGGGACTCGATGGTTCCATATCCTGGTCCTGCCACAAACACTGTGCGGATGTGGGGGGGGTGAGGAGGGCCAACATGCAGTGCCTACTGGAGCCGTGCTCTGGACGCCTCTGGATACGGGTCCATGGATCAGAAGACACAGAGGTCTTGTGATTGCGGAAGGAGTAAGGGGCCCTGAGGAGATGGGCTGTAGCCAGGGTCTTCATTTAGAAACAGTAGGTTGGTTGCCAAAGCAGAGCTATTTAAGTTATGTGCCTTTGTTTAAAAAAAAGCTCCTCCATCAAGATCTGAGAGTGTGACTTTTCCCTCCTTCTGTGATCTGCTAAGTTTTGCACCAAAAGGTGTCTCAATATCCAGCTTTTCATATTTTTACTGAAAATGGAAACTGAGTCTAACTAGATGGTATATCCACTTGCAGCTCTAACCTCTCCACAGGCAGCTCGTGTGTTGCACATAATCAGAACTTACGATACAGAAAAACCCAGGAGACACAGCGACACTGCTGCAGGGTCTTCTGACTCCTCAGTCTCACTGATTTGGCACTGAAAATTTGAGGTCCACCCACATTAAAATATTTTATGAAATTGAGGTATTTGGAGGTAACAGATCGCATGAGAATTGATGATTAATTATCAAGGAAAACAAGAACTGAGCTGACAGTGTTGACTTTTCTCGTGTATCTGGAATCATATGTAATCAAAGCAGTTTTTTCCTTTCTCCAGAATTTTAACAGGTAATGGATTCGGCACAAATGACTTACTTCTTGCTACACTAAGAGACGAGTGTGTTTCGTGTGTTCTAAACTAGACAACTCAATAGTGCTGTTTCCAGTTGTGTTGGGTCTTTAAAGTTTGAAGCCTGAAGATAGTCACACTTGTTAGAGACTTTTTGTGGAAAAAATTGTAAAATCACCTCTTTGAGGACTGCAGCCTGGGTCCAGGCACAAACTTTAAGGTTGTAAGATGTAAGATGAACTCAATGAAAGACATTTCTTTCATGAATTAAGTGTTTCTTTTATCACCACATGCTGAACCACATGCCGTGGTTGAGTCACAGCAGGACCGTTTTAGCCTCGTTCCCCCCTGAGCACCGGGGGTCTATCCAGGATCTTAGAACTCCAATTCTGACATTCAGGTGTGGGTCTCTTGTTAACAGTTCTTTCTTAGTTGTTCATCGAGAATTTTACAACTTAGACTCATTGTTAGAGGTAGAAATCAAACCTCAAGTTAAGACATCTGCAAAATAAAGCTATAACATCTATTTGAAAATATTCTAGATTTAATTAATTGTCAAGTATTTGTTATAGGTGAAAATTTTGACCAGAGTCCTTTGAGAAGAACATTCAAGTCCAAAGTTCTGGCCCACTACCCGCAGAGTGTGGAATGGAACCCTTTCGACCAAGACGCAGTGAGCATGGTACGTGCTTTTCTTGCCCCTCGGCCCCTTCTGCCGTCGTTTATTTTATGAAGGTGACAGTAGTTCCTGCATTTTGAATATCTACATTATTTAACTTTTTTCTTTTTTTTAGTAGATCTGGGGGTGTCAGCCAGAGATGTGGAGGCAGGGTAAGAGGATTCCCCAGAGACAGAGTGAGGAGCAGAATAGGTGGGTCCACTGAAATCTACTGCTGAGGGAAGCAGTGGGCAGGTCAGGAGAGGTCTGCTGTGTGCTGTGTGGGTTAGCTCCCTGGGCGGGGATTGAACCCAGGTAGTAGTGGTGGTAGTGCTGAAACTCAACCCCTAGACCACCGGGAAGGCCCCTATATTATTTCATTTAATTTAGTGCTTTGATAAACAGTTTTATAAGGTGGATTTTTTTTTTAAGATTTATTTATTTGTACATACAGAACAGGGGTACAAGCTAGAGGTGTAGGGGCGGCGAGAGGATTCACCAGAGACAGTGGGGAGCAGAACTGGCAGATTGTCAAAGTACACTGCTGAGGGGAGCAGCAGGAGGGTCAGGAGAGGTCTGCCACGCCATGTGGATCACCTCTGGGGCAGGTGAGGATCGAACTCATGCGGAAGCGGCTTTAGCTTCTCAGTGCTGTGCTTTAATCCGCTGCGCCACCAGGAAGGGCCTAAGGTGGGTATTATCCACCTCACTTTACAGATATAGAAAATGAAGCCCAGAGAGGTGAGGTAATATGCCCAAAGTCACCACAGCTACAGGGTTGGTGATTTTGCCCAACTATCAGAGGAACACGATAGTCTTGTAATAACTGCCACTAGATGCTTTGGTGAAAGTGATTTACTTTGTTTACCTGGGGAGGAAGATGAGAGGTTACTTTATCACCCAAGGAATGTCATATAATGCACCTGCAGCTTAAAAGACTCAAAGAATGAAGGTGGGAAGGAACTCTAGGGCATCATTTGGACATTAATAGGAATTTGTTTGTAAGGGATTTGAATTAATGTAGATAATCACTAGTGTTGATAAACCCCTTTGGAGATTCTTAGATACAGCATATCAATTTCAGACAATTTAGGACAGTTGAGCCTCCACACACTGTGACTGTCTCAGTCAGAGCCCAGTCACCCAGTGGAGAGATGACACAGGGCAAGGCAGAGTGGAAGTCCTTGTGTATGTGGAAATTAGGGCCCAAGGGCCCCATTAGGATGGATGTTGGGAGGGGCCCAGGTATTCCTTGCAGGCAGCACCCGCAAGGCCCGCCCAGTGTGCGCTGTCAACATATCCACACAGGTGACTCTGGGGAGGGTGCTGGGCCATGCTTTACAAGGTTAGGAAGCCTCTCAGGTTAACTCACTCTCACTCTCTGGCTCACTCTTCTCCGACCTGCACGTGGGCTCCCACCAAGAAAAGCTGTGTGACTTGGTTTGACCTGTACCCAAACCATGTGGGGTCACGATGGACCTTCTGGGGTATTTGACCCACTGTAAACCCTCCCTGCTGGGTGTGCTGCTGGGGGACAGTAGTGCTGCCCTTTCTGGAGGCAGAGCCAAGGTGCTTGGTACTCAGGTGGAGTCTATGCAGGGTACGGTTGTCTTCCTGTACTGGCTTCTGTGCCAGCATGATCTGAGACTCAGGGACACAAGACAGGCTCTGGTTAAAACAATCAGCCAACAACAGTGACAAAAAAATAAGTTACCTGCTGCTTACACCAGCAGCTTAATGGAAAGAGTAAAGAAAAGAGTGTCTAGGTGAGGCAGTGGGAAATGGGGACAAGAGTATAAATAGATCATAACACCGACTCTTAATCACAAGCTAGTTCAAGGTGTAAATTAGAATGATGCCCCAAACTAGCTTCTTGCTACAATGTGAATCTGCAGTCATACCACTTTTTGGGTGTTTACTGTGGCTTAATCATTTAAATGGACTAGCCCTGGGGCATCTGTGATAGCTCTCATCTGTATCTATAAATCATTCATCTCTAAAGCACTTATCGAATTCCTTGATCTGTCTTTGACATTTTCTTTACCCCTTGCAACTGATGTTATTCTTTTTAAGCAGTGGAAGTTTCCCTCTGAAGAGTAAATGTGCAGGTTTGTGTTTGGATGGTCAAGCAGCACACAGTACTATTGCTGCAAGTTGAAAAAAGTATTTGTCCACACGCCTCGAAAATCTCTGAAAAGCATCCCATTAAGCTCGGCTGCATTTGGGTCATAGATTTACTGCCGTTAATTTCCCCTTTGATTTATTAGTGCGTGCATTTGTAGAAGCTCTAATTTATCCCCACCTAAAGTTAGAAAGCTTTGTTCCTGCCTTGAGCAAAATCCCACTCCAGCAAGCCTTCGCCTCTGTAATATCCATCATCCCTCTAACAAGAGACAGAGCGCTTTGAACCAGGATCATTAATTCCACACAGAAATCAAGTACCCAACACAGTGGACTTTTTTAAATAAAAAAAGTCCCATGTGCCTGAGTGCAGTGCAGATACAACAAATAAATGTAAGTGACAGATGAAATTGTTTCTGAATTAATCACTTTTTATGTTTCTTTTGTTGCCAGTGCGGAGATTTTTTAATGAAAAAAAAAAAAAAAGGGCAAGTGCCATAAATCAGACAGAACAACGGAACAATCATATTCCCACCACCCAGTACTGACCTGCACCTATGCAGTGGCTTCAGGAAGTCACCTCTCCTCTTAAACTAAATAAAAGTTTGTGAGCGGAGCTGAAGCCCCCTGACTGCCCTCTTTTCAGACCTCCCCTAGTAACCATGACAGCTCAGAGAATGTCCCAGTAGGTAGACGTTGTTCTTAGGAATATAGCGAACCTTGTGAGGAAGGAAAGTGGCCAGTCCTGAGACACAGTCTACTTTGTATCCTGCCCTCAGTGAAATATGTGATGAAATGTTCCAGGTCATTAAAAGAGTAATAATTTATAAACTCATACGTTTACATGTAGGCTTTACTTTGATCACAAAGAAGAGTGGTGGAGTGCAGTGAGGAGTCACAGGTCAAGGGTCAAAGGTTGAATGTGGAAAAAAACCCTTGCAAGCATCAAAGAAAAAAAGGGCTGCTCTGTACTTTGTACAGAATTTGAAATGGCTGATCCTCAGTTAGACCCACAGGGTTGATGTCAGTGTGAAAATGAGCCCCCATTTTGACCCAGTTTAGTCCACATGGCACAATAAGATCTCAGGGGTGGGGCTCAGCCCCAGTCCGTTCCTTTACCATGCGACTAAATAGTGCCCAAGCAAACTCAGCCATCTATATCGCATTCCTGGAGCCCACCGATCCTAACTCGTGGTGGCCACCCACCTCGTGGCCTCTCTCTACCCTCCCCTAGCCCATGGACTCCCTTTCCTTCTGTTTCCACACCTCCCCCGAACCCCTGCCAGCCCGCGCACCTGGCTGCCTCCTGCTCCTTCACCCTCCAGAGGGCTCTTGCACGTCCCCTTCATCCCGCAGGTGCCTCCCACCACCCCTGCACCCCAACTCCCTCTAGCCTCCGGCACCCTGGGGCGCTGGGAGAACAGCTCCCAGCCAGGGCTTTGCACTTGGCAAGAGGCTGGCTGAATAGAGCGGGGTTTGTGCCGCTTGCAGCTCTCCCCTCCCACCGTCTACCCAGGTGTCACTTTCACTGAGCAGGTGATCCTCTGTCCTGGGACGTTTGGGCCACATCTTGGAACCGTTGCTTTGTGCATGTGTCTTTCCTGCTAGCCTGTGAGCCACCAAGAGTGAGGCATCGTGCACACATTTGTGCACGTACCTAGGTCAAATGTGATACAGGCCATAAAATCAGTGTCTGTTGGAGGGAGGAGGGGGGGAAGGAGCAAAAAAAGAAGAGCAGACGCCAGGGTTTTCAAGAGTTTTTTGTGTCTATTTCTCTTTTGTCTATGTGATAAGGAGAGCACCTAGGGCCCTAGAATATGTTTCCCTATAGAAAATGGGAAATGAGTCTTTTCTTTTTTAATAATGTAATAGTTTATTTTTTACATCATTTTGTGTCTTTTTCCATCTCAGTTGTAATCCCCATGAGCTTCCCATCACCAAATCACCCATGTGCGGTCACCATAGTCCAGTGCACTTCACACCCCCACCCCCGTTTTTGATCCCATTCCTCATTCTAGCCCCTTAAAATGTCTCTGGTATATAGTTGTTCATTATTATTATTTTCCCACCTTAGTCCTTTATACTCCTACTATGAGTGAAACCATCTGATGTTTTTTTTTTTCTTTTTTCTGGCTTATTTCACTAAGCATGATCCCTTCCAGTTCCATTCATGTTGCTGCAAAAGGCATGAGTTTATCTTTTTTGATTGCCGAGTAATATTCCACTGTGTATATGTACCACATCTTTTTAATCCATTCATCTACTTTTGGGCATTTGGGTTGATTCTATGTCTTTCCTACTGCAAATAAAGCAGCAATTTAAACATAGGTGTGTAGGTGTCTTTTTGAATCAGTGTTTTTGTCTTTTGGGTAGATCCCTAGGAGTGGATTGCTGGGTCATATGGAAGCTTCATTTTTAGCAGTTTGAAAAACCTCCAAACAATTTTCCATAGTGGTTGTACTAGTTTGCATTCCCACCAGCAGTGCAGTAGAGTTCCTTTTTCTCTACATCCTCACCAACATTTGTTGGGGAACATGAGTCTTTCAAGTTAGTAGTACACATACCTGGAAGATTGCAGAGAGATAAGGACATTTGGTCACTCAGACCCAAAAAGTAAGCTGGGGGTCAAGTTAGCCTGGCCTGTGACTCTCTGTGGGAGGGGAGGGCTGCGAAGGGGGGAATAGCTCCCTTAGAGGTGATGAGAGCTCGTTGAACATCATAGACAACAAGTTTTGATTTAGAGTTGTTTTCGTGAAAACAAACTGACAATCCATGTCTCATTTTCAAAGTCGAAAAGGCAATAAATAGCGTCTCCCAATTCACAGTTTCCAGATCAGAAGTCAAAGTCACTTTTTTTTTATTTTGTAGAGACAGCATTTAGAGATACTTACATCTGTCCTCTGAAGGCTGGAAAGCCATTCCTCACCTTGAGCACCACTCTTTGGCAGAGCTCTTCCTGTAAATGTTGGGATTTGTGTGCAAGAAAGCAACAAGGCCTTCAGAGAATATTTGGCAGCCATTCAAAATAGTTTGAACTGTAATCTTGTGGTTTATGATGTCAGAAAAATCTGTCCATTAAATTAAACTCCTTCGTGTTGACTTTGGAGGTCACGACGTGTCTGCGTTTCCTACTGGGTGTGAAGGAGAACTACAGGCTGAGTCAGAGACAACAGTCTTGTTCATTCATTCATTCAACAAATAGTTATGTGCCTTGCATTATGATAAGCATATCTGAGCTTAGCCTGGAGCAAGAATGATTCAAAACAGGCTTCCTGCAGTCTTGACCTACTATAGTGAATGTATTGGGTGACCTTCCTTCATCACAGCAGCATAAGCCCTCCCCAGGTTCTAGGAGATGAATAGACTGAACCTTTTCTTGAGTAGAACAACGGGTGTAAGCCAGAGGTGCAGGGGGTAGGGGGATTCTCCAGAGACAGAGTGGGCAGCAAAACAAGCAAATTTACTAAAGTACGCTATTGAGGGGAGCAGCTGATGAGACAGAAGAGGTCTGCTGTGCCATATGAGTCACCTCCCTGGCCAGGAATTGAACTCAGGCTGTAGTAGTGATAGAGCTGAGACTTAACCCCTAGGCTACCAGGGAGGCCCTAGATTGCACTTTTTGATGGGAGAATTGCAAGTTTCCAGAAGACAGTGTGAAACTAGAAATATCGTTGGAGCCATGTTTAGAAAATATGTCCAGGTCAGGGTTGGAACTTGAGAGTGTCCCAGGGAGACAGTTCCAACCAGAGGAGGCCAGGCCAGTGCACCTGAGCATAGGTCACCCAGGTGTTCTAAAGATTCCATCCTAATCTCCAGGGATTATCTGACCTGAACCGTCTTTGGCTCCTCAGCAACTTTGTTCCTAAATGTGACTCAGTCCTGGGCATTTCCCAAGACAGGAAAGGCGAGTCTGCTGGAAGTCATCAAGCATGCCTTGGTTCTGCCCTTCTGCTTCAGTAGGTCAAAAATCAATCTTCCCAATGTGAATTTTTCTAGCATGAAGTGTCATGTTCGAAATAGCAAAAATGATCCCCTTATTTTTGTTATTCTGTATGGAACTTTCTTCCACTTATCAAAGAAACCTGCACTTCCTTTCCTCTGAAAGCTCATCATCATTGCTCCCAAAATAGCCCTTCCACATTAAATATTTGTAAGGTGCCTTTGCACATCTTGTCTTAAAGTCATGGATGGAGCCAGTGCTGTCAACCCAGAAACCGGCCCTCTGATGGGTTCTTTGGTTTTGTGGGGGTATCTCAAGCCTTCTGGGATCAAGAGGAGCCTTCCCAGGCTCAGTCCAGCCTCCTGCGTGTGACACCGTGTGATACCCTGGCCCACCTGCCTGCCCCAGGCATTTTCCTCTTAGAAGCGAGGACCAGCGTAGCTCAGCTTTGAGGCTGCTTGCTGATCTCATGTGAAATCAAACTCCTTCTGAGTCCGGTGAGGTTGGTAGCAACACGACAACGTTGCTTCCTGTTCCTGGTTTGGGGTTCTCTGTGTGCTCATGCTTCTCCCCCTTCTTCTCTCCCCCCCCCCCACAGCTGTGCATGCCCAAAGGACTGTCCTTCCGAACTCAAGCAGACGAGAGGGAGCCTCAGTTCCACTCGTTCATCATCACCCGGGAGGACGGCTCCCGCACCTATGGCTTTGTGCTGACCTTCTTTGAGGAGGTGGCCAGCAAGCAGATATGCACGGCCATGCAGACGCTTTACCAGATGCACAATGCCGAGCAGCAGGGCAGCGCCTCGTCCTCCTGCAGCCTGGACTCTCTGGCCAGCAGCCTGGACGACGGAGATGCCATGTCCCTTCAGAAGCTCCAGCGCGACAACTCCTACGACATCACCAGGGACACCCTGTATGTGTCCAAGAGCATCTGCCTCATCACGCCGCTGCCCTTCATGCAGGCTTGCCGCAAGTTCCTCTCCCAGCTGCACCGCGCCGTAACCTCGCAGCAGCCCCCGCCCCTGCCTCTCGAGAGCTACATCCACAATGTCCTCTACGAGGTGCCGTTGCCACCTGCGGGCCGATCCCTTAAGTTCTACGGGGTGTATGAGCCCATCATCTGCCAGAGGCCGGGACCCGACGAGCTGCCACTGTCCGACTACCCGCTGCGGGAGGCGGTGGAGCTGCTGGGGCTGGAGAACCTGGTGCAGGTGTTCACCTGTGTGCTGCTGGAGATGCAGATCCTGCTCTATTCACAAGGTAGGTCTCCCCACCTACCTTGTGCTCAAGTCCCAGCATGTTCCAACCTGGGCTGGAACCCAGCAGGGGCCTGTCTCGTGGGGGCTAGGTGGGCCCAGGAAGTCTTCTGTCAGGGAGACAGAGTACACTGACCCCTGCTGTCTGTGCTGATCGGAGGGTCTCTCTAGTGGGAAGGGCCCCCTTCTCCTGATGAGACGTGATCCTCATAAAAGCAGTAAACTCCTTCTCCTGCAATAGAGCCCTGTTTCTACCAGGCACTCACAGACTCCTCACTCTGCTGGTCAGCTGAGGGTCACCTTCTGGCAGACTTCAGATGTGGTCAGTGGGCCTGGGGGTTGAAGAGGGTGACTGAGAGGAGGGTGTGTCAGGCCCTCTGTGCCACCTGTCACAGGGCTTCTGGTTATTTTCCGTCCCTGAAGGAAATTGCCTCCATGATAATTTTCAATCAGTTTTCCCATTTTAAGAGACCACTACAAGTTAGGTTTTCTTTTTGCATCTGGTAAGTGCTGAGCCTGGACCAGACACTGATTCCAACAGAAATGTGAGTTTGCAGAGGAAACAGCCACCCAGTCCAGAGTGGTGACTGCGAGGGCTGGAAGGTCAAAGGCCTGTGCCCTGAGGGAGGACTGGGGGTGGGGGGCATTTGCAGCTGCTGGAGGGACTCTAGGGGCTAGAGGGGCTGTCTCACTTCACTACTGTCCTTTTTTTCTTTTCTATTTTAAATGACGCGTGAGGCTGAGCCAAGCAGGCTGTATTTGTACTTCCCATCTTGTGTGTGTATTCACACTGCTCGTGTGTTGATAGCCCTTGGCAAGGCTGTTTGCTGTTGTTTCTGCTACAGACGTTCTTCAGCCACACGACGCAATGCCCCACGTCCAGGAGGTTCAGCTCCAGGGACCCCACCTAAACCCTCTCCTATCCTTTCTTTCCTTGGTGCCTGAGCGATTCCGTGTTCTTCCTTTTCTGGCTTCCCCGTTCTTCCTTTCCTGCTGCATTCCTGGGGGTCACATGGGACTGTGCTAGAGGGACGGTCTCCAGCTTCTGTCCTCCAGTAATTGGTTAGCCAGGAGGAGGAACTTAAAGTACTTGAATTGCTGGTGTCTTCAAGGTCATTCAGCAAAGTCTTGCCTGGAATACCTGGGCTGGAAAGCACTTTGCCTTGGGAAGTCCAGGGACTGGGCTCAGAGCTGGGCCCAAATTCCCCTACACTATGGCCCTGGGTCCTTCACTCATCCCTGGGTGTAAGCGGAGGTTTGTGTTCTTTATTCCCCCTCACTCCCTGATTGATTTTGAAGGTTAAATAAGAAAGACTACAGAATCCATCCGGCACAGTTAGAAGATGACTGATTTATCATTTAGCTGCTCTGTGCTCCCTGTAAGTCATCAGATCTTAAGTGATTGGTATGACTTTGTTAAACAGTCAAGGCATTTAGTTGTTTCGTGCCAGAGAGCCTAATGATTATTCTGTCATCCTGGAAGCCATGCTTTAGGCAGAACACTCCCACATCACAGCCCTCTTGCTCACCAGCTTTAAGGGCCTGAACCTCCAACCCTGCTCAGCACCCATCTTCCCGCTGTGTCAGCGTATCCCCACCACTGTTCTATGGGATCAGGAGGAAGTTAGCTAGTAAAAGTTATAAAGATCTGGCCCTCCCTGGTGGCGCAGTGGGTTAAAGCACTGCACTAAGAAACTAAAGCTACTACAACATGAGTTCGATTCCCGCCTGCCCAGGAGGTGACCACATGGCGTGGCAGACCTTTCCTGACCTGCCCGCTGCTCCTCTCAGCAGTGTACTTCGTTGATCTGCCTGTTCTGCTCCCCACTCTGTCTGTGGTGAATCCTCTCACCACCCCTGCACCTCTGGCCTGTACCCCAGTTCTGTATGCATAAATAAATAAATCTTTAAAAAAAAAGTTATAAAGATCTACCTATTTGATTTCAGTTGCAAGTGAGCATTTTTTTTTTAACCAAATGAGTATTTTGGAGTCACTTGGTCTTATGCCAAGAAAAAAAGAATGTGTCCTGAATTATAGAAATATATACATGTAAATACAAACATGTATGTGTGAAGACTGGATACAAAATTAAAAGACACATGAAGTAATTTTATAAACATTCACTGAAATCGTTCTTTGTTAAAACTGTAGTGTAAAATGTCTGGTAGGGATTTGTTTGTTTATTTTTGCCTCTGCTTCCCCCGCCCCCCAATTTATTCCTCTCAACATTGGGTTGGTGCTCTCAGGTATATTTGATCTACAAAGACACTGAAGTTCAAGGAAGCTAACTACCTGCCCAAGGTCACACAGCTGCAGGTAACAGTGGAGCTAAACTTGGGGCTGGAGACTCCCCAAAGAGGTGTGGCCATGGGTTCATGGACTGGCATCCTCCTTGGCCTTCCTTCCTCTGTCTTCCGTTTATGTCTAAGTCTCTAGCTTGTGCCACATGCCTATTACAAAGGTAGAAGGTAAAAGATATCTTGACACCTTGCCCAGTGAGACGAGTTAGTTGAGAGCCGTTACATGCGACGTGTGCCCTGGTGCCTGCCCCCATCCTTCCCGACTGTGTCATGGGGGATTTCATGACCTCTGAGACTTTATTTCCATTGATAAGCCGTACCCTAACATTTAAAGATGTTCCCACAAAAAACCCAAAGGCAATGGGATTCAGTGATGAGACATCCTCACCACAGAACTGGGATGGGTCCAGAGCCTGTTCACCAGACCTGGTCTCTTCTTAGGGGTGCCCACACACCCCAGTCACTTACAGTGGTGACAGGCTAGTATTTTATGAAGAGAATAGCCAGCAGGTAAAGGTTCTAGGGCCCCAGAGGCCAGGAAAGAGCACAGCCTGGAACTGCTCAGAGCAAGACAGTGGGAGCTTGAAGTCTAGTCATCTTCTCAGAGGAGTCAACGAAGAGTAAAGACGGAGTGAACCCCAGTGTCTAACTCTTTTCTCCCCTAAGTCAAGTCTCGGTCTGAGTCAGGTCTTGCACTTTCCCCTCAACCTCATTTGGGCACTGCCCAAGTACTCCCAGGATGCCTCTCCCTGCCACCCTTTCTGAACTGTGCCTAAATTAACCTCATCAATAAGTGGAGGCTTCTTGAGCTTCTCCTGAGAAAGTTGCAATCCCAAATTGCTGGGCTCACTCACGTTCCCCAGGACACTGTCCTGGGCAGTGCAGGGTCATCAACTGTTACATAGCTGTGCCTGCACATACCATTGGTGGCCCACCCAGCAGCTTCTGCCACACCTCAGTGCATGAGGCACACGTCTCACCTCCCGCTACAGACATTACCCCCACACCTCACAGAGTCTACCTTACCACACAACACACCCCAGTCTCGCAAGTCAGAATTCACAGGGCTGGGGGAAGGATGTGCTGAGCGAACTCTACGGATACAGGTTTTGTGAACTCCACGCGGGAACTACAAATCCCAGCATCACCAAAGGTGAAGCAGTCAGGATCTAAAACCAGACATGTGGGCTTTGGGGGTCTCCGGGCCTTTGGTTCGTGGCTGGTCTCATGGTTTTTCACCAGCTTTCAGTGAGCTATTGGAGTTCCAGTTCAGTGGAACTGGTAGAACGCATTAACCAACGTCTCTTCTCTCTCCCCTTTTCTTGTAAATAAACCCATTATTAACCTTTTTGTACGGGCCTGCAGTTGAATCTTGTAAGTCCCTTTAAGTATACGGGTGAGGACCCACAGTCAGGCAACCCAATTCGCATTGGGTTACCCTGTCACACCTCCTTGCTGATAGGGCACACCTCACAGATCCATGGTTGCACAACTCTACACACTTAACTGCACACCACAGCCTCACAGCTGCCTCACTGCACACCCCACTGCAGCTGCACTGCATGCCCTGCTCCAAACTCACTGCAAGCCCAAGGTACACCCCACTGCAACCTCTCTGCACACAGCAGCCTCACTGTGTACTGCACACCTTTCTGCTTCCTGCCCACCTCATTGCACACGGCATGCCTGACACCTCACACAGCCTCCCTCACAGTGCACACCTCACACTTCACACCAGGTACCCGCACAGCGCACCAGCGAGAGACGCCCCTCTGTGGTGTGTGCCTCTATGCCCTGCCCTGCAGTGTAGTCATTGTTCCCTGTGAGCTACCTCTTACTTGTTGGGGCAGTACATGACCAACAGGACACTGCTGTACCCAGCTGTCCAGCCTTTTCATGTGTCAGTAGGGCTGAGGGAGAAAGGAAGTCAGGCAGCCCCTGGTGGACAGGAGAGATGGCCTTATGGCTGGGGTCAGAGCTCATGCACACCCTCCTCCAACGTTACAGGACATAGTGGATTCAGCCCCTGCCCCCAGGGTCACCGTGCGGTGTCCCCTCACACTTAGGCAGTAACTGCTGCTTCCTTTCCTGCCAGGCAGCCACATCCCTGCTGCAGTGGGGCCAGTGTCCTGATGCTGTCATGCAGAACAGCTCCCCGGTTCCTAGCATGTCAAGTCCTACCCTAGGTCTCATCCTGGTGGTGCTTTCCCCTCCCACATGGACACAGACGCCCACCTTGCTCAAAAAAGCTGGCTTGTTTGTGACTGAAGCATTGGCAGAATGAATGATGACTGGGTGTTTCTTCACCAGGTGACTCTGCTCACTGCTTTTCCTAATAAAACTCTGTTAAGTAAGGTTTTCCTTTAAATTATTTAAGGATTACTAAATAGGTTCTTTTCTCCCATTTCATGTTGGAAGATGTAATTTTGTTTTACAGTCTAGAGCTTAGTGTTTTCTTAAGGGGCTGGCTAAGTCAGGAGCATTTTAAAGGGAGTGATTGTTTTAGAAACCCAATCTTATACAACAGTACCCAGAAAAATGAGGAATTTTATTCTTGTAACTATAAAACTCTATAGAAGCCCATAATAAAACAAATACCAGTTTTTAAAAGTTCATAAATACAGACAACACCAGTGAAAGTGTTTTTTGTGATAACTTGTCTACATACGACATAATGCACGTTTGAAATAGTCAATGTTAGAAAAGAGAGGAGACCAAGAGAATCAGACTGAAGTGGGCTTTATTGAAACTCCATGAGGTGATGAATCTCTGCAGGCCAAGAGTTGTGCCCCAAAATGGGCATGTGGGTCTCTATAAGGTCAGGCTACTGCTGCAATTTTTTGGCACTTAAGGTTGGAGGGTAGCAGGGTCAGAGAGTGGAGGATGGGTGAAGGGTAGTGGGGTCCCTCCTGCAGGGAGGGGCTGCTGAAATTCCTTATGCTGGGGGCAGTTTTGCCAGCTTTATCTGATTTCGCATATCTCAGATTCCCTGATGCCTGGTTATGGGGTGGGGGGAGGCTTGCAAGTGGCCCCTTAGTGTTCTCTTCAGTCAGGTCATAAAATATTTAAATAGAGTTGCATTTTATTTTCTCTGAATTTTCCATGTGCCTCCTTCTCTAACTCTAGGAGTGACTGTGGATACATATCCTGCTGCCATGACCTTGCAATTTCATGTCAATTCCAGAAAGCTCTGGAAGCTTCCCCCAGAGTCTTTCCCACGCTGGAGATCCTGGGAAAGCTGCCTTAGACGGCGCAATTGAGACTGTCATTTCATAGGAGAGGACAAAGGTTAAAATGCAATCTTTGTGGGTCTCCCTGATGGCACATGGTTTAAGTCTCAGTGCTATAAGACGATTACCAGGTACTATGACCTGAGTTCGATTCCCAGCCAGGGAGCTGACCCACATGGTGCAAAGGACCTCTCCTGCCTTGCTCACTGTTCCTCTCAACAATGTATCTCAGTAGCTTCTCCTGCTCTGCTTCCCAGTTTGTCTCTAAGGAATCCTCTCATCCCTACACCTCAGTTCTTGTATGCATAAATAAATAAGAACAAATCTTTTTAAAAATGCAGTCTTTGTCTCTAAAGGATAGTTCTGATCTCTGTACAATCTACTGAGGCATAGTTAGAATGAGTCACTTGGTAAAAATTTTCTGTGTAATGAGATGGCTTAGTAAGTGAATACTTGAATTTTCTTTATAATCTACCTAAACACGCACACAACTAACTGGATATGTGAGTATCCAGGAAATAGGATTTTTTGGAGTGAATCATTTTTTTCTCTGGATTGTCACCATTTTCTCCTACTGAGAAGGAATCTCATGGGGACAAAATCAAATCTGATCCTACTAATGCACTCATTTATTCAAAGTTATGTTTGAGTACTTACTATGTCTGGGACTATACTAAACTACTGAGATTAGAAAAATTAAAAAGACCCCAATCCTTGGTTGAATGAATGCCACAGAAGAGAATTCTAGGGACATTCCCCTGGATTTGGTCTGTTTCGTCATTACCTGCTCCGCTTGCCTTCCTGCTCCTGCCTCTCTCTTTGGTCTGGCTCTGCTTAGTAAAAGCAAAGCATCCATCAAGCCAAGTCCTCACAGCTGTGAGCCAGCCCCCTCCTCTGGGCAAACAAGATGAAGCCTTAGTGGGCTTCAGAAGGAGAACGCACCACAGCAGGTGCTTGAGTGCCTCCTACTGCAGCACAGACCCAGCCCTCATGCCTCCACAGACCTGGGGCTCAGGTCAGCTGCCTGAGGTGGAAGGCCCTTATATCCCACAGCTCCATTTTCCACCTCACACTTGTGGGGTGAGGGGGTATCAGGTAACCTCCATGAGCACCCCCTTCACAGATAACTTCTATGTGCTACGGCCAGCACTTTCTCTGGCTTCAGCTGATGTGTGCGTGTGTGTGTGTGCGTGCATGCCAATGTCTGTGTGTCTGTGTGTGTCTCCACCTCCCCCAAGCCCTCACTAATCCTTAATCCTCATTAAGGATCCCTTAATGGGTTAGCACCCACCCACCCATTTTCTGCAGGATCGTTAATGTGCCATTGGCTAGCACAGAGCCTCTTCTGGATGCCGCATTTGCCAGTGGGGCACAGTGATGTGTGTTCATGGCCCTTGTCCCCACAGATTACCAGCGCCTGATGACTGTGGCCGAAGGTGTCACTGCGCTCCTGTTCCCTTTCCAGTGGCAACACGTCTATGTGCCCATCCTCCCCGCCTCCCTGCTGCATTTCCTCGATGCTCCAGTCCCCTACCTGATGGGTCTTCAGTCAAAAGAAGGAACTGACCGCTCCAAACTGGAACTTCCTCAGGAGGTAAGGCTGGGCGCAGCCTTTAAGGCTGCCGCTGTGGCTGAGGCTCCAGGTTCCTGGAGGGCAGTGGGGTGGCATTGGGGTCGGGGGGGTGGATACTGGGAAGTGGTCATTAATTAAACCTGGCTCAAAACAGGACTGTGGGGCCACCCTGGTGTCCTAGGAGTTAGTCTCAGCACTGTCACCTCTGAGGCTGGAGCTTGATCCCCAGCCAGGGAAATAATACACATGGCACAGCAGACTTCTCCTGGCCTGCCTGCTGCTGCCCTCAGCAGTAGATTCAGTCGATCTGCCTGATCTACCACTCTGTCTCTCGTGAAGCCTCTCACCCTCCCCCAGCACCTCTGGCCTATACCCCAGTTCTTCTATGCAAAATAAATAAAATTAAAAACAAACAGGACCATGGCCAGTTTTCACAGCTTTAAATTTGTGAAAAGGGAGCAAGTAGCATTATCTAATTGCTTTGTCATCCTGGTACCACTTCATTCCTCTGCTCACATTCATGTCACGTATGTCAGGCAGCCCAGGTTAAAACAGCCTTTAAAATCACTGTGTTGATTGTGTTGACTTTGATTCTTGACATCCATTCAATGAAAAAATAGCATCTTTCAGCCCTCCAGAGAAAACCAAAGTATCACATCCTTTAGAGTTATTTATTTCCAAACCTACAGCCTTTTCTAGAGGTCAGCTGGGCAAGATGGTTGAGTTAAAAATTTTAGGGTCCCTTAAGGTCGGGCTGCTTGCTGTGTGTTGGATTTTTAGGTGATGCTTAGAAGAAATAGGAAGTCTTCAGAGCCTTTTTGCCTCTCAATTTCACTTAATGGTACACAGAACTGGGTTGGAAAGCTTCAGAAAGGAAGTATTGATGGACATGTCTTGGCCCATTAAAACACATAAAATGGGGCCCTCCCTGGTGGCCCGGTGGGTTAAAGCACTGCACTGAGAA